AAAGTCTTGGTCAACGCGGATCTCATGTCGGCGGCCGAATGATTCACATCGGATTCCAACGCGGAATTACAACGGAAAAAGGTTTTAAGAGCCGTTAGGTGAACGTTACCACGTGCTATTAGCTGTCACTATCTGCTACTGTCTCCCCTTTGTGGGCCCCACTCTTGGCCTTTATAATCCCCTTTCTACTCCCCTCTTCTTCCCCATCGAAAATTCAAACTCCATAACCAAACACTCTCTCTCCTTCCACAACACAATCAATCTCTCTCTCTCTCTTTGTCTCTCTAATCGCCTTCGCCTTCACAAGCTAGTAATGGCGGCTCAAATCAGCATCTTCTCTTTGGCTTTTGCTGTTGTTTTGGTTTTGGCGATGTTCGCTGCTGTTTCTGCTCAGGAGTTGTCGTCGGCTCCGGCCCCGTCTCCTGACGCCGGAGCTGCGTTCTCTCTGCCGGTTTCCGGTGCCGTCGTCGGTACCTCTCTTGTCTTATCCGTCCTCGCCTTCTTCAAGAATCATTAGATTTGGTCTTGTTGAGTGTTCGACTGCTGGCGCGTTTGGCCTGGTTTACGCGGTTCATTGATTATCAAATTCTTTCTTTATTTTTCGTTTTAATACATTTGTTACTGGTTTTATGAGTGATTGAGGACTATTATACTGGATCCATTCTTTGTTATTTTTGTTCCGTTGTATACATGAGTGTATCGTAATTAATAAACTTATTCTGAACCTCATTTTCTCTGTTCTAAACTCTTTATATACGTATATACATATGTAGATGCTCTAGTACTTCAATTTCAGTATCATTTAAGCCTAATTTCATCTTCTTCTGGCCAGATTGGTTATATTTTATCGGGAATTTGATCACCTATCTTTAACAATATATAAGTAAACTCATTCCACAAATCAAATAATATTAACAAATTTTATGTATATCTTCGTAATAGCAAATTGAAGTATTAGATTCATAATACATCTTCGTAATAGCTAATTTTATGTATTAAATGATATTTGAAGGTTAAAAAATATAAAAATAAGTAGATTTTAATTATAATAAAACTTACATTTTATTTTTTAAAATCTTAATTTCATATAATTTAAATGATCTACAAAGCAAATATAATTAGAAATTTAAACAAAAATTATGCAACCTCTATAAATTAATAAATAAATTAAAATTTAGAAATTTAAATAAGACTGAAAATCTAATAAATTAATAATTATTTTATTTTAATATGGTCATATACTTTTAAAATCGTTACTTGTGTATTTTTATATTAATAATTAATTTTTATCTTTTTAATATTTTTATATTAATATTTTTTAATCTAATAAATAAAATAAATAATTAAATTTGATGAACTTATCAGATTAATAATTTTATATAAAATAATAAAAATTTAAACTACGAACACAAAAATTTATAAATAACAAAAATATTTTAATATATATATATAATATGTTTATTGTGCTTTATGCACTAAGTAGGAATAATAATATGGACTAAATATTTTATCAAATAAAAAAAATTATTTTGAAAAAGTCTCGACAATTGATGATTAAGATGAGATTCGATAATTTTGATTTTAATTATAATAATTTTATATAAAATAATAAAAATTTAAACTACGAACACAAAAATTATAAATAACAAAAATATCTTGATTTATTCTTAATTATGCACTAAGTACGAATATTAATATTCTATCAAAATAAATTTTTTTATTTTGAAAACTCTCCGACAAATAATAGTTAAGACGAGATTCGATGATTTTGAATTACAAAAAGTTTATTCGGTTTCTATTTTAATTGTAGTTACGAACGACTCCTATTAAGTTTTACGCATAAAAATGTTCTTCGATAGTATTAAACCAATTGTGTATAACCACTAATAAACACTCGAACAAGCGATATTCATTACGTCGAAAGCACCCCATGGGGTAAAACTTTTTTCGACTTCTTTACATAGAAAAGTAAATAACGACATCGTTGGGGATAATGTGGCCGAGTAGTGTGAAATTAAAAGTCTACCATTCGAACATTCAAATTTAACGTTTTATTTTTCTAATATCTTAACAAAGAAGAAAAGTCTCTAACGAGTAAATTTATTCCTACACGTTAAACATTCCCAATACTTTTCAACACGAAAAGAAAAAATCCTACCCATTTAAAATTATTTTTCTATTTAACTAATTCAAATATTTTAAAAAATTAATATAATTTATAACTAAATTAATACTTATAATTTATACGAACAACTATATATATATATATATATATATATTTTTTTTTTACAATAAGAAAATGGGTGGGACACGTGGGTTTAGACAATTTCGCAAGCCTTTCCGTTAGTCAAGAGTTCTGGAAACAGGAAACAGCTAGCCTGACCAGCCAACCACCGATCACAACGTGTCCGCCTCTATACGGCGCCGTTTAATGGTCCAAGTGGGTCCCCCACCAAATACACCCAATTACACCCCAACTCTGAGTTGTTCAAAATTCAAATAATCAATCTCCTAGTCGTTACGCTGTCACCACCCCCCCAGTGGACCCCACGCGACGCTCTGTCCACACCTCTCTCTCCTGCACCATATATATATATATATATATAATATATATATATATATACACACAGACTCGTATACCCACAACACCCCAGAAACACATCTTCAGTTTCTACATCAAGCAACCACAACAACAGCTCAGAAAATCTTCGATCCTTTCCATCTTCTTGTCATACGCATCAATGGCGCAAGTTAAAAACTCCAAGGCCGTCGTGGCAGTGATCTTGG